CACGGCGACGGGGCGACCATCTGGTCCCTGGGCGTACTGCTGTTCGAAATGGTGTGCGGGTTCCTGCCATTCGAAAACGAGCGTGACATCGTGTTGGGGCAGCCCATCTTCCCGCAGGAGATCTCTCCAGGTTGGTACGCGGCCTGAAGAAGGCAGGCCCGGCCCGGCCCTCCCGCAGCTCCGCGGGCCGTCCATATGGCCCTCAAGGGCCGGCTGCAGCAGGTGGCCCGTGCCGGGCTCGGTGTGGCACGCTTGGCTGAATAGGGGGCCCTTGCTTGTCCTGCCGTGCCGCTGTCCCGCCAAGGGCCGCTCCGAGCACACGCAGCTTGGCCCGGCCTCTGCAGGCGCCGGGAGCTGCTGGGCTGGAGCCTTCTGCAAGTAAGCGCCGCTTTCTGCCTTCTCTCCGCAGAGTGCCAACATCTCATCCGCTGGTGTTTGTCCAAGCACCCCATGGATCGGCCAGTGCTGGAGCAGATCTTCTACCACCCTTGGGTGTTGGGCAGGCATTTCTGATGCCTTGCCACAGCCTCTGCAGCACCCAGTTCCTATGTCCCACGCAGGCAGGACTGAGGGCTGAGAAATAAAACAACCCAAAAGCCACTGCGGGCTGTCAAGTCTGGTCCTTGTTAGCAAGTTCAGCTAAGGGAACCTCTTGGGAAAAGGGATAATCAGAGCCTTCCCTTCAGCCTTTGTCAAGCTTTTGATGCCTTTCCTCCAGGTCGTAGTTTTGTGTCTTCAAGCACAGGCTGTAGCACAGGTAGGAGGGGCTTTAGGAAGGCAAGAAATTCAACAACAGTGAAACAATCGACAGCTACCCTTTTAAATTGACAGGGCCACTTGGGGTCTGTCTGTCCTCCTGTCCCCCTGGTGGGTGGCTGGGTCTGCCTCCTTTGCATTTTCACCCAAAGCGGCAAATCTCAGTCAAAGCATTTGATGTGTTGATACATTCAGTTTCTGCCTATTTTATTCTCTATTGTCCCCAGGGGATCTCGAGGGCTCTTTGTCCTTCTCTGATTTGGGGGTGCCAGTGTTGTCACCGTCCTTGCAGCCCCCAGCCATTCTCCATCTTCCTTAGGTTTTGAGATTGCCCTTGGGTTTGGGCTTACAGCTGCAATTGGGGCTGGTTTTGGGCTTAGGGCTAAAGGTGGCCTTGGGTTTAGGGCTGAGCATTTGGGAAGGGCCTGGAGTTGGGGCTGGCCTTGGAGTTAGGGCTGCCTTTTAGATTAGAGCGGGGATTAGGTTTAAGGCTAAATGTGGCATTTGCCTTTGGCCTGGCCTTGAGCTCGGGTTTGGGACTGGGATGAGGTTTAAACAGGGACCATGTGTGTTTCTCAAGGCGGAGTGAGATCAAGATGAGCATCAGGGTGAGGTTTGGGACCGAGCACATGGCCAGGGGCAGCTGTCACTGCAGGATGTCCCTGGCATCACTGTGGGAGGTGCCCCCTGCCCAGGGATCCAAAGATTCAGTTTCAGATAAACCCTGTTAAAGTGAGAGGTGTGGTTTTAAAGCCTGGGAAGAGTGGATTCTATCCTGCACCTTGGGGATCCTGCCCCGGGAGGGCTTGAGCCACCCCAGAGCCTCGTGGCATGGCAGTCCAGGGAATTCTGAATTTCTGGTTTTGAGCTCCTGGGGATTCTCCCTTGCTGTGTTCCTATTAGTCCCTGACCTTAAACAGCACCCTGGTTCTGTCCCGTACAACCCAGCACCCTGCCTCTGTTTGGTGCTCTCTGTCTCTAGATCGAAGCTGAGTTAATTCCTGTGGTGAACAAATGGTATCCTGAGCAGAATTGCATCTTGTTCAGTCCCAGGCCGGTCCCTGGACATGACCCTGCAGGCCTGAAATGCAGCAGATGGTCACCTGACAAACAGGGACAGTGACACTGTACAGGTTTTCTAATGCATTCTTGGCCTCTGTCTTCAACATTCATCCCTCCCTTCCCAGTGGAAAACACGTATTGTACCAAGAGACACTGCAAAGTCCTTGAAGAGGGCAAGCCCTGCTCAGCAGAAAGCAAAGCACCCCTGACTGAACTACAGCATCCCCATCTTGAATCCAAACCCAGCATGTGCCAGCTCTTGGGAAGAGAGGAACCCTATTGCAGGCAAAACCAGAGCAGTGGGACAACCATGAGCGCTCTTTGGAATATCTGGATTTATTTTGAACAGAAGCTCTGCAGAAGTTGGTGAGCTGCTAAGAAAAAACTCTTGCAGTCCTCGCCAGCCATTTCAGGAGAGCTCCCCAGAGACAGAGGAACTTCACCTCCCTTTGTCTCTGGGGGATCTTCTCTGGCACAGGGTAGAGGTGGTTTGAAGTTGGTGCCGCTGCAGCGTCCTGGGAGCCGGGGGCTTTACGCTGGTGACACCAGCACTCTTCCTGATGTGCTGCCACTTGCTCCAGGGAAGGATTGATTGCAAGGGGCTGAGCTCCTGTTCTTATTTCCAGGTAGGTGCTGTGCCCCAGGAACCGACTGCCGGCGCTGCCGACAGAAAGGGGCTGCAAAAGCTGGGCCCCGGCTCCTTGGCTTGGCAGGATAAAATAGTTCACAGTTCAGCTGTGAATACCTTGTGTTCACATTTATAGGGTGGTGAAAATAAAGAACAATCAGTGGAGCCTGTCAAGGAAAACCCACGTGCTTACTGAAAGGAATATGGGGAAGAACTTACTTTATGTCTTCCTGCACTTTGTGCCCTATCAGCAACAGGGACCACAGGGGCCACAAGCAGTGTCATAGAGAGACAACACTGTAGTCTCTCTTATGTTTCTCTTATGAAGAGATTATATTTTTATAACCCCTTTGGCTCTGGCAGCCTGATATGTCACTTTAAAACTGAGGTTTCAATACTGCGAAGTTCACATGATTTCTGAGAAAATGGAATCAGAAAAATTCATATTACATGCTTAGCATACCACCTGCCAGTGCAGGCTTTGGTCAGAGCACGCATTTCTCTGGTCTTTCAGAACTGCTTAGGCTGCGATGTGTCACAAATTCCCTTTATCACATTCAATCTGTTAAAGACAGATGCTTGGTAACCAATTATTAAAAATCTACGAAAAATTTATAGCTAACATTCTGGAATTGCATAGCTTCTTTTGTTAAGATTTTGAGATTTGAGTTTTATTTGGTTTTGACTTTTTGCCTAAGGAAGTAGAATTGCCCTCTTTGGAGAGTACAGTAAGGAACTAACATGCCTCTTGCAGAGAACACTTAATGCCTCCTTAGATGATTTCACACAGCCTCAAACACCCATAATTTACACACTTGTCTTAGAAATTCATGTGACACCTAATCCAAGCCTATGGGCAAGGGCGAGAAGTAAAATAACCCATTGTGTTTTGATAAACTATGTTTTTATGACTACTGCAAAGTTGATTCTGCAAAATTACCTTCTTGCCTTAGGTAAAGTCAGATTCAACACCTGTCTTGTACAAAACAATTAATTTAGAGCAAACAGGCTGGGGTGGTTTGAATTAATCTTTTACTCACTCGTTAGATGGAGCATGTTGCTGCAATTATTTGAACAAGGATTTCAGGAACTTTACGAGTTACTTCCCGGAGTTCACTTGTGTGCGTTACCGCCGATAACTTCCCGAAGTTTAACTCGGGGAGGTCACAGTAAGGCTCAGAAGGGCAAACGGGCTCTCACCTTCCCTCGCCGAGCCCCGAAAAGCCCTCGTTTGGCTCTAAAACCGGCGGAACGGGGGCGCTGGGAAGCGGCCCGGCCGTCCGGACCCTGCCCCTCCGGACCCCCGGTGGCCGCGGTCAGCCCGGGGATCCCGGGACAGCCCGGGGATCCCGGGACAGCCTGGGGATCCTGGACAGCCCGGGGATCCCGGGACAGCCCGGGGATCCTGGACAGCCCGGGGATCCTGGGACAGCCCGGGGATCCGGGACAGCCCGGGGGTCCTGGACAGCCCGGGGATCCTGGGATAGCCCGGGGATCCTGGACAG